AACCTGTAATAGATAATGAAGCTCCTGACTTCAAGGGGCTTATAATTTACATTCTACCAGAAAAGGCAGCCTGATCATGATCCACAATGGACAGGAAAAAAATGAAGGAAGAAGTTAGTTTTGGTTGAGATAAATTAAGTTTTATAGGCAACATTACACAGAAGACACAGAAAACCTTTTGTATGTTACTTAACAAAACCAGAATTCAGTTTCCTTGTTAGAAAAACAACAACAAAAGGTATGTATTATATTTCAAAGGATTATTATTGTTATTCAAAAAAAATGAGCCAGGCGCAGTGGCTCATGCCTGTAATCCCAGCACTTTGGGAGGCTGAGGTGGGCAGATCATGAGGTCAGGAGTTCAAGACTAGACTGGCCAACATGGTTAAAACCCACCTCTACTAAAAAATACAAAAATTAGCTGGGCATGGTGGCTCGAACCCGTAATCCCAGCTACTTGGGAGGCTGAGGTAGGAGAATTGCTTGAACCGGGACCCGGGAGGTGGATGTTGCAGTGAGCCGAGATCACACCACTACACTCCAACCTGGGCTACAGAGCAAGACTCTATCTTAAAAAACAAAAACAAAAACAAAAACACAAAAAACAAACAAACAAACAAAAGGGGTGGGCACGGTGGCTCACATTTGTAATCCTAGCACTCTGGGAGGCCAAAGCAGGCAGATCACCTGGGGTTGGAGTTCAAGACCAGCCAAGCCAACATGGTGAAACCCTGTATCTACTAAAAATAAAAAATAAAAAAAATTAGCTGGACATGGTGGCATGCGTCTATAGTCTCAGCTACTTGGGAGGCTGAGGCAGGAGAATTCCTTGAACTCAGAAGCAGAGGATTCAGTGAGCTGTGATTGTCCACTGTACTCCAGCCTGGGTGACAGTGAGATTCCATCTCAAAAAATAATAATAATAATAATGTATGTAAAGAATTTGGATACTCAATAAGTGGGAACATTCTTTGACCAATATTAACAATATTAGTAATAATAAAAATATATACCTTATTACCCTGCAATATCATCCATTTTACCTCCCACTCAAACCTACATACTAAACTTGGTATACTCAATTTTACCTCTATATATTCAATGCTAACATTCTAGTCTTAGGAAATACCACATAAGCTTATTCCTAAAATAGTTACAATAATTTAAAAAAAATTTTAACCAATAGCAGAATTCAAATGGACAAAGAATAAATATGCTAAAAATCAAATCAAACAGAAAGGGGAAAGACATGTAGAATAAAACAAAATTTTACGTGGATCTTTGTATGTTGTGTTTTTAGTGCCTCAAAATTCTCCAGCCTATTTCTAGTACATCTCAGCCTACTGTAAAGTGGGGAGCATAAAGGAAGAAACTATTTAGGAATAGAATCTATTAAAAACAAATACAAAAACAGAAGCTGCTTTCACTCCTAAGCTTAAAAAAAATCCCCGTAGTTTGGAGTTGCAGGGGGAAGGGGTGGTGAGAAGAAGCCACTGGTGAGGGCTGGGAAGGTCTATGCTGCATATTCATTAATTGAGCTGATAGTGACTGAAGATCCTTTTACACAGGAGAAAGTGTTCTACTAGAGGACTGCCAACTAATAAATGGGCAGGATATGAAAGTATGGCTCATATGAACTTGGCATCGAGTGCCGATGAGAGGACACAAACTGTGGCTCCAACACACAGCCCTTGCTGGTAGTGATGAGTGAGTGACCTGGAGATCCTGCCATTTCCAGACGCCCACCTGACTTCTTGCTGAGCCATGTCACAACAACACACACAGCCATATCCATGAAGTGCTTCTCAGTGGCACAGTAAGACGCTGTGTGGAAACTTGAACTTTATTAATAATTTAAAGTGCCTAGGATTTAAGAAACACCTTCTGCTGGTGTTTTATAGTGGATTAGCTCTCTCTTATATACAAGGTTAAGGCTTTCCATCTCTGTGGTTTGTGCTGGACTTGTGTCTCCTTCATAGGGATAGAAAATGACTTTCTCTCATTTCTTCACTATCTTGGGAGGAGTGGGAGGGACAGAAGGGAATGGTAGATAGCAAATTTTCCAGATTGGCTAGAATATTTAGTGAATTAATTCTGAGCTACTATCTTCCATGTTATACATGGACCAGCAGACAGATGAATAGCAAGTAAAATATTATTTTAGAAAATCCACATAGAATTTCTGAATTTAAATAATCTTCAGTAATGGCTCATAGTAAAAATAGGATAGAGTGTGAGTTTCAGGTATCAGCTGTCAAGACTGCAAGGAATTCAAATGATCCAGAGAAGTTCTACTCAAAGTGCAAAGTCTGCGTTACAGACCTGGCTATCTGCTATGGATTTTCTCCCTCTGCCGACCTTTTTCCTTTTGTCATTTTTCATGCAGACTTTGCTCAGTACTTCTGCAGCTATTTCAGTGTCCACAGAGAAATGCTGCTGCGTTATATGCCAACTCTAAATGTACTTTTATCTTACTGCTTTTCTTTCCAGTCAGGTGTTTTATAATAACAAACAGTAACAAAGGCTTTTTTTAATTACTTAAAATATTCAGTGGCTTTTGTCTTCCTAGCGTCAGCAGTAACGTCAGAGGATTGTATCCAAGGAGCTAAATGTGCAGGACCCAGGGTCAGAGCAGCTGAATACACCAACCTCAGAAAACACAGACAATGAATTGCAAATGACACTCAAAACAAAACGAGAAAAAAAACCTTCACACAGAAAACTACAAAAGAACTCTACAGACACTGAATTGGCTTTCTGTACACACTGATCCTGCTTAACTGTGTGTGGTAACTAACCAAACGCTTCAGATACTCATGGCCACATATAAAGGGTTTTTCTTTTCTTTATTTTGTGTGTGTGGGGGGGAGAGGAGTTATAAATATAAAAATATTTCTTTCCTTCAAGTCTATTCTTTATTTTTTAAAAAAGCTTCACTACGGCGAGATAGCTGCAGCTCTTTCTGTTTCGATCTTCAAACACACTAAAGAGTGGCATTAGTGATGAAGTGATTAGTCTTCCGTTAATTCTGCTGAAGGTTCTACACAAAAGGTATATTGTTTCAGCTGGGATTCACATCATGAAACAAAATGGTTTGGTAAACCCAATAGAAGTGATAGCCCTTTCATGACACACAGGGTTCAGTACTGTATATTTCAACTTGTTAGCAAGTCAGAAGCACAAGCGGGAAATCAGCCTACACTGCTACTGAGGATGAATGGGAAAGGCTAAATTGATGAGCTGCTGTTTAGATTTTCCCACTGGGAATTATTCTCAACTGTCCAGGCATTACATCATTCAGGTAAATGGCAGCAGGACAAAATGCTTTTTATTTCTTTGTAGCTAACCAGAGGGCAATATAAAAACTTGAAAAGAAATATATCTACTCTCTATCCATAATGAAGAAATAGGGTTTCTTAATTGCCAAGCTATGGTCAGTTGCAGCTGGTTGTTGGTAACTGAGGAGCTAAATGCATTCTGGTTGTCACCCAAAGGCAATGCAAACGCTTCCCTCTCTACATTTTTAGTTTCTTTATGAAGCTCTTTGAATTATACTTGAAATCAAAGACAACCATCATATTGGGGTGACGGGCATATACAAAAATAAAATTTACTAAATGCATCAGGATTTAAATGATTTTTAAAAACATTTCAGGCCAGGTGTGATGGTTCCTGCCCGTAATCCTACCACTTTGGGAGGCCAAGGTGGGTGGATCACCTGAGGTCAGGAGTTCGAGACCAGCCTGGCCAACATGGAGAAACCTCGTCTCTACTAAAAATACAAAATTAGCCAAGCATGGTGGTGCATGCCCGTAATCCCAGCTACGTGGGAGGCTGAGGCAAGAGAATTGCTTGAACCTGGGAGGCGGAGGTTGCAATGAGCCAAGATTGCAGCATCACACTCAAGCCTGGGCAACAAGAACAGAACTCCATCTCAAAACAAATTTTTTTTTCAAAAAGCTTTATAGTAAAACTTTTTTTTTTTTTTTTTTTTTTTTTTTGGGCAGGGTCAGGGAGCACTGATTTTCTCTCCATATTACCTTCAAGATAAAACTCAAATTCCTCAATATATGACACCTCCCGTGCACACCTCTGTACCATGCTACACTAGGAAGCTACACCAAAGTACCAAAACCTCTTATGCCATACTTGGTCACACTTCCATACCTTCAAAAATACTCAGTCTTCCAAAACTCAGCTCAGCTCTATCCTTCAGAAACAAACCAATCTCACTTTAAGTGATCCTCCTCCTCTAATTTCCTTACATTTTGGTTGTCAATTACAGCATTTATTACATCACATTGAGTTACTGTTTTATTTGTTGGTCTCTCCTGCTAGACTCTGAACTCCCTGAGCACTCTGCCTCATCTCTCTATTTTCAGGCTCTAGCCTCATGTCAGGTCTACAGTTATGCTCAATAAATGTTACAAGTCAATGAATGAATAAATTAACAGATGAAAGAGAAGAAAAATAGAAAAGAAGGAAAATAAATTCAGGAACTAGTATGACATGAATTGGATAAGTTTTAGGAGTACAGTAGCAATTGCAAGGGTATAATGGGTTCAGGGATTGTCAACCAGGCAATTACCAGGTACATTCGAATAGACATTGTAAATCTTTATCTTTCTTCTTTTTCCCTCTTCCTCCTTAATCTTCAGTTTTTCTGCCCTTTCTCCCATCTCTCATGGTTAACAAGTTACATTTTATAGGGCTTTTTTCTTTATATGTATCCCTTATAATTCTGTGACATTTATTATATATTGCTTTGTTTGGTCAAGGAAACAAATTCAAAGAGGTTTTCTCCATTTTTGCTTATGCTTTAGACATGGCAGGACACCAACCCTTGCAGAGTTCCATAGGTAACTCCCTGGGCTTGGTAACCCTCCCAGTACCTGATCCGTTTAAACATACAATACTGGTGAAGCAGGAATAAAGATATAAGACTTTTTCCAAAAGTATTTCCAAGTATTTACGACCAAGTTTCAAGAAGGAAATCTTACCCATGGCTTGTTTCCCCATGGCACACTGGTAAGTGTTTCTCGGGGACTGGTTATGGTGAGGGTATGGAATCAGTCCAGCACACACGCCAAGAAGAGTGAAGGGTTCAATCTCCAAGTGGGTGGTGTCTCTAACAAGTTAAGTAAGAATCAGATATCTTAAGCATCAACTGCAAAAGTAAGTGTCTCTTAGTGGTATAAAAATATTGTTAACTAGGTCCCCAAGGGATTTACGAGTCAATAAAATTCAACGCTTGTAAAACTGGTAAAAAAAAAAATACTTAAATACAATGACACATAAGAACTTGTACTTAACACATAAATTACTATACTCAACATATAGAAATATATTGACATTCATATGGATGAATAGCCTAATTTTCCTCATTCTTCTGACATGTATCAGTTAGTACATTGTTATCACCATTTTAAAGTGGAATATACCTCCTTTAAGAATAGTTACTATAGGCCAGACATGGTGGCTCACACCTGTAATCCCAGCAATTTGGGAGGCCGAGGCAGGTGGATCATCTGAGGTCAGAAGTTTGAAACCAGCCTGGCCAACATGGTGAAACGTTGGCTCTACTAAAAATATATAAAAACTTAGCCAGGCATGGTGGTAGGTGCCTGTAATTCCAGCTACTCAGGAGACTGAGGCAGGAGAATCGCTTGAACTCAGGAGATGGAGGTTGCAGTGAGCTGAGATCACACCACGCCACTGCACTCCAGCCTGGGTGATAGAGCAAGACTATCTCAAAAAAAAAAAAAAAAAAAAAAAAAAAAAAGAATAGTTACTATAGACCTACAGGGACCAATACCAAAGCCATTAGATAATTGTGGATACTGAGCACTTGAAATGCTAACTTAATTTTAATTACTTTAAATTTTAAAACTCAAACTGAAATTTAACTCAGTTCAGTTATTTAAAACCTTTCATCTTGGATCAACTTACATTTATGAATCTTTTTAAAGTTTAAATGTTTTGAAATCAGATCAAGTACTTCTGATAAAAAACTGGCATCCAAATTGAAATGTGCTGTAAGTGCATACCAGATTTTGAGGACTTATATAGTAGGAAAAAAGTGTAAAATATCTCATTAGTTTTATATTAATTAAATGTTGACATGATAATATTTCGGATACACTGACAAATAAAAATGTTTAAAATAATTTTACCTGTTTCTTTTTATCTTTTTAATGTGGCTTTCGAAGTTATATAAGTGGCTTGCATTTTATTTTACTGGACAGCTCTGCTGTAGATAGTACTGGACACAAAGTAAGATTTTACCTAGTAGATGTCAGAATCTTGGTGACTTTCATAATATATTTCTGCAGAAAATTCAGGTTTTTTTGGCCAAATGATAAAGCAACTCAGATGTGTTAATAGGAAAGATTACCCAGATTAATTACAGGTCTTTGTGGAAAGTACCAGATGTGACATCCAGATCTGTGATATCTGTGGACCCGCTATTTCTCCCTCAAGTGTTTGTGAAGCATAACCTTAAAAATTTCAGTGGTTTACAGCACCTGTGAACAGAAGTGATGTTCAAGAAACCAGGTCCCAACCCATCAATTGAATATACCTGGTAAAACATCTCCCATTTATCCAGTTATTCATCAATTTTTTTTTTCAAAACACATGTATTAAATTATGTCCCTAGTTTGATGAGACAAGGTGCTTTCCATGTATTTCTTGGTTTAAAGAGTATTGTTTTGATCTTACGACCTAGCAGAACCCCAAACTTCTCAGACAAGTAGGAAGGGAAAAAAACTTCCTTTATCAAGAAGGAAGGGAAAAGACTCTAGGTTTTGTTTTGCTTTTTTCTTTAAAGAGCATGAACTTATAGCTACATTTTATAGTCCAGAAGAAAACAGATTTTCTTTTAAATGTACTGTTTTAAATATTGGCCAAGTTGACATTCTCCATCTAAGTAAAAACCAATTTTTCAGATGTTAAGATTGGACTGAGTTGAAAAATGAAAAGAAACATCTGAAGTTTTTTTCTTCTACTGTAACATACATAAAATCATATAGTATCCAATAATTACTAGGAGCCCAAACACTCTAGATTCTGATTTTACGAAAAAGAAAATAAAATTATTCTCTTTAAAATCATCAGTTTAGAAACTGAACAGGAATTGAGAAATAAAAAAAAATTTTTTTTGAGACAGAGTTCACAATTGTTCTCCAGGCTGGAGTGCAATGGTGCAATCTTGGCTCACTGCAACCTCCACTTCTGGGTTCAAGCAATTCTTCTGCCTCAGCCTCCCGAGTAGCTGGGATTACAGGCATCCGCCACCATGCCTGGCTAATTTTGTATTTTTACAAAATTAAGAGACAGGGTTTCTCCATGTTGGTCAGGCCAGTCTCAAACCCCTGACCTCAGGTGATCCACCTGCCTCGGCCTCCCAAAGTTCTGAGATTATAGGCATGAGCCACTGTGCCTGGTCAAGATTTTTTATTCACTGTGTATAAAGCACTTAAATTCAGTTCGAATGAAAACTAAGTAATCTGTTGTTTACAATAGTGGAAAAATCGGAAACTGCCTAAATATTCATCAGTAGAAAACTAGTTAATAAACTAAATACGTGTAGGTAGATAATGTAATAACAATCAGCAATTAAAATATATATACATATATTTATATATATACAGTCACACACCACATAACGCTTTGGTCAACAACAGACTGCATAAATGACGGTGGTTCCAAACAATTATAATACTGCATTTCTACTGTATTTTTTCTTTGTTTAGATATGTTTCGACACACCAATACTTACCATTGTGTCACAACTGTCTACAATACTCAGCAGAGTTATATGCTGTACAGGTTTGTAATCTAGAAACAACAGGCTTTAGCATATAGCCTATGTGTGTAGTAGGTGACAGATATCACCTAGGTTTAAGTACACTATGATGGTCACATCATGAAATCACCTGACAACAAATTTCTCAGAATGCATCCCCATCATTAAGTGACACATGACTGTGTATACAAATATACAAGTATATAAATATATATACTAATATGGAAAATGTCCAGAATATATTGGTAAGTTTCAAAATCAAGACACTGGAAATGCTATCATTGTTTTATAAACACACATTGTGTGGAATCATGTATGTATGTTTGTTCTCAGAAAAACAATCTAGAATAGTACATAAGAAATTATTAGCATTGGTGACTTCTGGAGGATAGAGTCTGGTGGGATGGCAAAGGAAAGGGATTCATTCTTCGTACTTAATGCATTTCTACATTAAAAAAAATAAGTATAAATTAAATAATACAAAAATTTCTACATTTTAAAAATGAAATTAATTCGATGTATGGAATAGCTTGGTAACTGGGTAATGCTGAGAGTTATATTCATTTAGATCAATGAAAAACCAGATGAAAATCCCTGGCTTCATGAAGCTTCTAGTGAGGGGAGACTAGACAGTACATAGATACATCAGTAAAACACCCATTTTACTACATAGTACTAGGCGCAAGAAGGAAAAATAAAAAGGAGCAAAGAGGAGTGGATAGAGATAAGGGTTTCTATTTTCAATAGAGTGGTCAGAAAAGTCTCACAAGAAGGTGACACCTGAGTGAAGACCTGGAGGAGGTGAAGCAGTGAGCCATGTAGGTATGTGCAAGAGTGCTCCAGGCAGAGGAGGCAGCCAGTGCCAAGGTGCTAAGGCAGCATGCCTGTAGTGTTCAGAGAAGAGGCCAGTGTGGTTGAAACAGGGAGTGCGGAGAGGTAGAAATGGAAGTGGGCAGATCATGTAGGAACTGGAGGGCCTCTGTAAGAACTTCTGAGGGAGAGAGAAAGCCCCTGAGGTATTTGAGAAGAGAACTGACATGACCCCTCTGCTCTATTAGGAAAAGAAAGACTGTATGGGAACAGGTGTTAAAGTAGTCAGGCTTTTGCAAAAATCCAAGTGGCCTGGACTAGGTGGTAGATTGAGGTAGTGAAGAGTTCAGATTCCAGGTGTATTTGGAAGGCTCACATGATAAGCTAGTGGTTAACGTGGCTATAGAGAAAAAGGGTCAGGATAGAAATGGAGGGTTTTTTTGGTTTGAGTAACACAAAGGATAGAACTGCCATTTATGGGGCTACTATAAAATATTTCTTTTATATACTTATGCTATATATTTTGAGTCAAGGTCTCACTTTGTTGCCCTAGCTGGACTGCAGTGGTGTTCCGATTATAGCTCACTGCACCCTCAAACTGGGCTCAAGTGATCCTTCCACCTCAGCATCCCAAGGAGCTCGGATCACAGGTGTACACTACAACAACCAGCTAACTTTTTTCATTTTTAGTAGAGATGAGGTCTCACTGTGTTGCCCATCTCAAACTCCTGAGCTCAAGCAATCCTCCTACCTTAGCCTCCCAAAGTGCTGGGATTATAGATGTGATCCACCACACCTGGCCCTCAGTCAATTTTCAATGAAGGGTATAAAATAGTACTTTGAGAGATTCACATCTTTAAGAAAGAAAAAGTATTACTTACAAAGTGCAATATATATATTGCAAATATATATATATACATATATATATATTTGCAATATATATACTAGCAATAAGGTTTTGCTCTGTCACTCAGGCTGGAGTGCAGTGGCATGAACATGGCTCCCAAAGCCGCCCCCTCCTGGGCTCATGCAATCCTCCAGCTATATCCCTCTGAGTAACTGGGACTACAAGCATGAACCCCCACACCTGGCTAATTTTTAAGTTTTTTGTAGAGACGGGGTCTTGCCATGTTACCCAGGCTAGTAAATTATAATCTTTTAAAAAGTAGTATATTTCAGTTGGTAGCAGAAAACAAAAAAGTTTTTCTTTTTCCGTGTTTTAAGAGATAGGCTCTCACCCAGGCTGGCGTACAGTACCACAATCATAGCTCACTGTAACCCATAACTCCTGGGCTCAAGCGATCCTTCTACCTCAACCTCCCAAGTAGCTAGGACTACAGGTGCGCGTCCCATGTACTCAACCTGGCTAATTTTTTATTTTTATTTTTAGACATAGGGTCTTGCTATGTTGTCCAGGCTGGTCTCAAACTCTTGGCCTCAGGCAATTCTCCTGCCTCAGCCTCCCAAGGCACTAGGATTACAGGGATGAGCCATTATACCGGGTCAGAAAAGTACTTATTCTTGATTGAAGACATAAATAGTTATCAGGTGGTAGTATTAAACTCCCTAGCAATATATCTGCAAGAATTCCAGTTTCAGGTAAGTGGTACATCAGTCACATGCATCAGGCAGCAAGTTATATAGATGTTCTTTAATGTACTCCAAATGGAATGCAGATGCTTCTAAAAATATCACTGTTCAAGAAGAAATATTGTGAACATACTACCAATTCAAGTGTATAAACTGCACATAAACTTCAAGATAGTTTTTGAACAGACTATGTAGGGAATTCCTGCACTGACAACAAGAATTCAGATGTCCATGGACAAAATCATCTCTAAAAGAGATAAGTAAATTTTTATACAGCTTGATTCGTTAGTTCAATTTTGGCAATCAAGTATTAAAATCAGAGAAGCAACTCCTTTTAAAAAATATACATTGAGGCCAGGCAGGGTGACTCATGCCTGTAATTCTAACTACTCAGGAGACTGAAGTGGGAAGATTGCTTGAGATTAGGAGTTTTAAGCTTCAGTGAGCTATGTCATGCCGCTGTACTCCTTTTGAGTGACAGAGCAAGATCATCTCAACAAAAAACAAAAACAAAAAGAAACTGCGTATCTGTGTGTGTGTGTGTGTGTGTGTGTGTGTGTGTGTGTGTACACACTGTCACATGAACAGAAAGGATAATTAAATCTAAAGATGACTAATTAGCTGCTCTGTAATACTCTTCACTGGGATAAATGATGGGTTATGCTCTGCATTAAAATTGTAAATTTCTATATGGTACATATATACTATGAAATACTATGCACCCATAAAAAGGAACAAGATCATGTCTTTTGCAGGGACATGGATGAAGCTGGAAGCCACCCTCAGCAAACTAACACAGGAACAGAAAACCAAACACCACATGTTCTCACTCATAGGTGGAAGCTGGACAATGAGAACACATGGACACAGGGAGGAAACAACACACACCAGGGCGTCTGTTGGGGGGCTGGCGGAGGGAAAACATCAAGATGAATAGCTAATGTATGTGGGGCTTAATACCTAGGTGAGGGGTTGATAGGTACAGCAAACCACCACAGCCCACATTTACCTATATAACAAACCTGCACTTTCAAAATAAAAAAAAGATTGTATTTTCTAGTAGTTCCTGCCAAAAGAGTACAAGATAGGACTGAAGATGACAATGAAAAGGGAAAGTAGTTTCTATAGTCAGAACAGGTTTTAATTTATGCCTGCGATGGATCCTACTTACTTATTAATTGTGTGCTCATACAGTGCGATGTTACAATCATTTTCTTCATTCACATCTAAATACTCAACCAGACTCTCATGTAAGAAATCTTCAAAATTCCTGGAAAATTATTGATCAAAGAGACATCATTAAAAACCATTTTTTCTTCAGGATTTTATATAATAACAGGAGATACTGGCTTTCATTTAGGCCCAAAGCACCTTTGTCTTCCATAGAGTATCATTACATTGGGATACCTGAAACATCTTATTCTTAGCTCATACAGTAACCACAAACTTGCTGAAATAAAAACAGCAAAGTGTCCATCTGTAACTCTTGTCAACCTAGTCCCCACTTCTTAAAAAAATTCTAACCACAGAAACCTCATGATGAGACCTACGGTGTCTACACTGACATATAATGTGTAAGTCCTTTTCTTACCAAAAACACTTACTTGTGTACCACTTGACACCAAGACTCTATAACCATCATGATCTAAATTCATGAATATTTTACAATGTCCAAGCAAGTTCACATGGAGCAAAATAGGTTTTTAACAGGCTAGCAACCTGATGAAAAGAAGTTAAAGTACTAAATGAAAATACACTTTTCTTAAATCATGTATGTGTGTACTAAGGAGATTGGTAAGTTTTACTTTTGCCTACTTACCTGTACCCTTGGGCCAGCTCTTCCATATGTTTATTTGTGACTGCTGGCTTCTGCTTCTTGACAATTATATAGGGTCTAGAATGGAAAAAGCAAAACCAAATTAATAGTAGTTCCAGGGAAAAATTACACAGGCAAGTTAGTTTACCAAAGTGAGATGAGGGAAGGTGTAAATACAATCAAACCTATTCCCGGATTGCTGAGGACACCACGTATTTTTTGTATGCGTGAGCATGGTGTAGGGGCCTATGTTCTCTCTCACATATACACACGCACAGACCCAAGCCCATGTGCACACGTATGTGTGCACATATTCATGCACACACACAGTGCTTCCTGCAAGTATCTTAAAAACATTTGATTTTGAACAAAAAGGCAACGCAAAAAATGATACTCAATAAAGTCTGAAAAGGAAACAAAATTTTTAATGTTATATTTTTAAAAACTGTGTCATGTATCATTCCAAAAACGCCCTCTGATTTCCCAATGGAAATATTTTGTATACTACTCACAGAGTTAACAGGCAAAGAAGCACTGTCACCAAGGGTAATAATGGCATTGTGTTATGAGGTTCTGACGAATATCCAGATGTTTAGAGTAGTTTGATTTAGTCTAAATATCACTGAGCTAGGCTAGCAAGACACTTAAAGCTACACATGACCAAAGAGAGTGGCTAAAATCTGGCAGAGAATAAAGCTTTCCTACTTTATGATCTTCAGCGACATAATGGGTGGAAGGTGGCGAGGGCATTCCGGCAGATTAACCTGTAACTGTCAGTGGGGACTTGCCTCGGAGGGCTTTGCCACCATGAGGAAACCCTGACACAAAGGATGGCATGCAGCACTGAAACGTCAAGGGCTGTTGCTATTTGGATAAGCAGCTCTTACAGAGAGGAGCAAGTAACCACCAGACACTTGTACACTCTACCCGAAAGTCCAAATAACTATTTGAGGACTAATGAGCACTTTTAAACAGCTAAGAAGAGGAGCTACACAGTTACAAAAGGGGAACACAAGTTGTTGAAAAATAAACTGGGTGAGCTTTTCATGGAAATCCACAGCACCTCGAAATTCTGGCTCCTTCTTGGTAGGAAAGCAGAGCCCACTAATGCCTCATTTGAGCACTGCAGTGAAGTTCAGGTTAAGCCTCAGATGTGACAACAGAAATAGGAGGAAGAGAGGGAGGGGATCACATTTAGCTGCCTCAGTTATCCTTACTTTACTCAACACTTTCGACTATTTTTTCCTGCTAGATCTGTCATGCCATTCTAAAGGTGCTTCTATAAAAGAGTTTTCTTTTTGAATATGTCATATTATATTGGATGTAATGAAATCCTAAAAAAGGGTAACCTAGATATTGTCACTGTTATTCCTGTTGTTCACTGGACCACGTTGTTAATAGTTATACATAAGCACCTAAGGTGTGCCTGGCACCCTACAGAGCACTTACCACACGTGATATCAACTAGTTCTCATGACAATCTCAGGCAGGCATTACTGTTTCCATTTTACAGCCCAGGAAACCAAGGCTGAGAGACTGAAATAGTATATTCAGAGTCACACAACTCAGTGAGTGGGAAGTTAGGGTTCAAACACAGGTATATCATCAGCTATCCATTCTTTGGTTGCAAAGAAGAGAAACCAATTCTGGCTAATTTAAACAAAAAATGAAGTTTACTGGAAGCATTAAGAACACAGCCGGGTCCGGGCGCGGTGGCTCAAGCCTGTAATCCCAGCACTTTGGGAGGCCGAGGCGGGTGGATCACGAGGTCAAGAGATCGAGACCATCCTGGTCAACATGATGAAACCCCGTCTCTACTAAAAAAAAAAAATACAAAAAATTAGCTGGGCATGGTGGCGCACGCCTGTAATCCCAGCTACTCGGGAGGCTGAGGCAGGAGAATTGCTTGAACCCAGGAGGTGGAGGTTGCGGTGAGCCGAGATGGCGCCATTGCACTCCAGCTGGGTAACAAGAGCAAAACTCCGTCTCAAAAAAAAAAAAAAAAAAAAGAACACAGCCAGGCTTGGTGGCTCACGCCTGTAATCCCAGCACTTTGGGAGGCCGAGGCGGGCGGATCACAAGGTCAGGAGTTCCAGACCAGCCTGGCCAATATGGTGAAACCCCGTCTCTAAAGGAAAAAAAAAGAATTTACTGGTGCTGGGTGCAATGATCCCAGCACTTTGGGAGGCTGAGGTGGGTGGATCACTTGGGGCCAGGAGTTCGAAACCAGCCTGGCCAACACAGTGAACAACCCCCTCCACCCCTGCATCTACTAATAATACAAAAAATTAGCCATGTGCAGTGGTGCATGACTGTAATCCCAGCTACTTGGGGGGAGGGGGGGACTGAGGCATGAAAACTGCTTGAACCTGGGAGACAGAGGTTGCAGTAAGCCAAGATTGTACCACTGCATTCCAGCCGAGGTGATGAAGTAAGACTGTCTCAAAATGAAAAAAACAAAAAAGAATTTAATGGAAAGACAAGAATCACAGGAAAAGGTGAAATGCTCAGCCTCAGAAAGAAAAGGAACTACAGCAGTTCCGAGGATCCAGAAAATGAGGAGTAACAGGTAGTCTCTTGCATGCAGCACTGGGAGAATGAATTAAGTCCAATCACTTCCCTCCCTTGATTTATTCTACCTAGGATTTAAATTCTCTGATGATAGGATCTGACTGGCCTCATTTGGGTCATATGCCCAACCCCTTGCTGAAGAGAACAGGGCGCTGGACTAATCATCCCAAGAGGCCTGCCAGTGGCAGGGGTTGGGGGGGCAGTCCCCAAAGGAAAATGAAGTACTGTCATCTGAAGGAGAAATGGATGCTGGAGAGTCACTCTCCCAGCTCTGACAGACTCCTAGCTACTGCTAGCTCACTGCCTCATGCTTCAACACTACCCGAGGTCTACACAGAATAACTACAATAACTCCAGAGAAGGCTTGTGAAACGAGGCAATGACCTTAGCTGATGTCTCTGCATATCCCCTCAAGCCAGATACTATGTCACATTCATCTTTGTACCTCCAGCTCCTAGACAGTACCTGTGTACAATAAGTCCTTAATAAATACTTGCTGAATGAATAAAAGGAACCTACTTCTCCACTGTGTCTAATGTTATTTTATTTCTTCATGCCTCCATGTTTCCATTCTTGCCTTTTTTCAGCCTTTCTCCTCCCCTACCCGACTCCAACATTCAAGTAACACAATCTACTCATCCTTTAAAGCTCAGTTTGTAGCAAGACTATAGCGGGAAAAATCATGAGTCAAAACGAATCCTAAGGACTTCCAAATAAAAAACAGACTCCACCACTCTCTAGCTTTCAATAAGTTACTTTGCCTTACTCAACTTCAGTTTCCTCATTTGTTAAATGAAAAGAAAAATCCAACCTCATAGGGTTGAATGAAGTTAAAGCCTTACACATACAGTGCATCCATTAAAATGACACATAGTGGCTAGCATTAACTACTAGCACAGTTGATTGGTATTAATCATTTTTTCTGAGGGCAGACTCTTGTCTCCCATTAACCTAAATCCTCTGTACCTAATATGCATATTCATGAAGTGTTTGCTAACAATTAAATTTATCTTCACAATGAAAGAGGTTAAAGCAGTTTCAAAAACAAAAACAAGTCTATTTCTTTCAAGAGCAAATATAAAGAGATTATTAAAAACTCTTTTTTAGTAACATATACCTGCACAGCCTTCCTCCATCAGAAGAAATATAGACACATCGATCTGTAAGATTTGTGGAGATGGAAACAAATTCATTGATATATCCTGCTCTTCTCATCAGTCGAAATGTATTCACTAGCTTTTTATGGTCTCGAATGACACCCAATATGTTACCTAAGCAAAAAGAAAGAATAGGTAAGTCAGAAATAAAAAATAAATCCAGCCTGATTTAATATATTCAACCAATAAAAACAGTAAGCAGCACTAAGCAGTCATTTGAAAATATTGTTATTAACACCTGTAGCCAGTCCAAGGGGTTGTAGGGAAGCAACGAAGGAAGAATGGTTAAGGGCCAGTCCTTCCACATGCTGGCCAAGGAATACTGGAAAAGCTAGCTCCATTTTCCTCATCTGTGGGCACAGTGCTGGGAGCATGAACTTGGTGCCCCAAACCACCTGGGTTTGAACACTGTCCATCAATTTCACAGGCTGGTAGTAAAGATTGAACAAGCTGATCATTTAAAGTACTAAGAATTCTGCCTATTACCTACTGCTATTATTAAACTGCTGCTTGTTTAATCATCATCTGTGAAATGACGAAAATGAACTTTGCCTCCCAAGGTTAGTGGGAGGATTCAAAGAGGTACTGGGTGAAAGTGCAGAGTGAAGGCTCACTCAGTGTTAGCCTCTGGGATACAATGAAGGAGGCAGTAAGTTAACAGCCCTGCTGAGGCTCTGACCCCTTCCTCACCAGCCCATATGAAAAAGAGTTAATGTCTCTCAGAGTCAGAGGAAGGGGGAGAGGAAGAGAGAACAGACAAGTGATAAGGGATAAGCTCATGGAGCTTACTAGTGAGAGGACAGGCACACAGAGCAGCAAATCAAAAGCAGAAAGGAAGAGAATACACTTGCTGCTGAGTCTGAAAGAGTTTGAAGGAGGCAGGAAGAGGTATATGAAAGAAATAACTGGAGTATGAGCCAAGGCGAGGGACCCTCTTCCCACAGGCTGCTGACAATACTGATTATCAGAGAGCTAAACAAAGTCAATTCACTGTAAGAGTTGATCTGATAATTGTCGCAGAATGACTCCAATATTTAACTTGCACGTAAAGATACCATGTTGAACCTTATTCCACTACGGATATGCCAGCAACTGCAAAAGGGCTGAAAGCAGCCACTCTCTGCAATGTTACCCTTTAGCTCTAACAGCTATATCCTCTCAGCACCCAGCCAATAAAGTAAATGTTTCTGTTATCATTGTTTTTTCCACTTTTAGGTGAAGGTCAACTTGGACCTAGAATTAAAGTGTATTTGTGCTTTAAATATCAGGATAATAATGGATTCCCTCCCCCTCTTCACAGACTATCCAGGATCAACATGTCTCTATAATATACCCACCATTAAGAAACACAAGAAACACATTTGGGTAAGAAAGCTCTTCCCCACATAATAAATTCACATCTTCTACTCCCAAGTTACTGGCTAATTTAACAATGGGTCCATCTTCCATATCAGTTGTGATGTGTGTCATAAGGGCCAAGTTTTTAACCAAGCCGCATGCCTAAAAAACAAAAGATAGTCATTTCTAAGAATGAACATTAGTAATACAAAGTACAGTTTGCATTTGAAAATAGCTCACTACTTTGCTGGCAGCAATGCAAAGTGGTACAACTTTGTAGGGGATACTTTGGTGATTCACACAAATGCCTTTAAAAAACATATATGCTTTAACTCAGAGGAATTTGTCTTCATAACAAGCAAGGTTATAAAAGAGATTTAGCTACAGAAATGCTCGGCACAGTACTATCTGTAATTATAAATGTTGACGGCATCATATGTGCCCAATAAGTTGATTATATTAACAATTACTCCCAGACAATGGAACATTACAGTCATTAGGACATTGTATAAAATGAGTAAAGGAAAACATTAATAAATGCAGCTACATAAAAATATAAAACTTCTAGCTTGAAATGAGAGACTGTAGAAAATAACTGGCCAGTATCCTAAAGTTTCTTGGTCATGAAAGGTAAATAAAGAAAGACTGAAAAATACATTCAGATTTAAAGAGACAAGGAGACATGACATCTAAAAACAAAGTGTGATTCTGCACCAGAAAAAAGACAACAGTGGGACAACTGGCAAAATCTGAATAAGATCCATAGATTACAGTATTGCTCAATTTCATGAGATTGACAACAGTGTATGGTTATGTAAGATGTTCACAGCTGGGAATCTAGATGAAGGATTGTGGAAAATCTTTGTACTAGTTTTGTAAGTTTTTTTGTCATCTCAAATTATTTCAAAATGAAAAGGAAATAAATGGTTTTAAACTTCTATACACCCCGGCAAAGTTCTAAAACAAAAATACCAACAAGGACAAAATATAGCAAATAGAAAAAAAATACTTAAAGCAGATGATTTGTAAGATTGTATCTTTAAGTCTTAAAATCATCTGCTGCAGTAATGCACAAAATAGCTACTTTGCTGAAGTTAGCTGAAACAATTTCTGGGAAATGAAATGTTTCAAAGTTCAAGATATATAAATTATAAAAAATTTGACAAACTGCATAATTTAGTCTCAATTTCCATATGGTTTAAGATAAATTAGAAGAATAATTTATAAGAAACCACAACTCTACACAGAATCCTATTTTCATCTCTTCCAAATAATAACAAATTCCTACACTTTGGAGCCTACATCTTTTACTTGTCATAACTTAACTTACTAATTCAGCATATGTTCATGGGGCCTCTACTCTAACCAAGCCTCTGTGTTAGGAGCTTGAGATACAATGGTGAACCTCCCTTCCTCCAGATTTTACAATTTAGAAGGAACAGAATCAAGTGAAACTAACAATGTTAACACCAAGGAGAAAGGACCATGACACAGAAAGTAGCTGGTGGTATAGAAGTAAACCAATGTAAACTCCCTGGCTTGGTGTTTAGGCAATTGCTTGTGTTTCCAATACAGCTAGTGCTCGACTTACGACCACGGTCGGGCCCACAGACCAGTCGTAAGTTGAGTAGGCTATATGTACAGTTGAAATGGTGCACGCAGAGATGGTAGTGCTGCCAGAAGCTGGTCCGCACTGTTGTACGCCCAGCTGGGCAACATTTGCGCTGCCAGATGCGGAGCAGTCATGGCTAGCGACTGTGGTTGTAAAGTCGAATGGTCATAAGTTGCATAGGTCGTAAGTCGATCAATACCCGTATAAGTGAGTTAGAATCCACATTAGGTAATGGATACTCCTAATTGGCTGTGACTGAGCTCACCTAAGGACAATAAGGAGCTGCTCAAAAAGAGCCTCTCATGAGCATGAGAGATGACAGGTCTTTCAATCTGCCTTCACAGTCTTAATCCCTTCTGTGCATGGTTTGATTTGGGGATAAACTAAAATAAGCAAGAGAAACATGGACTGTATTACTTTTAGCTAACTTACTGAATCAAATGCTTCTGCAGGTCCTAGTTTTATGATGATACCAATGTAGTCTTCCAAGCATGTCAATGTATCTTTGCCAGATAAATGGCAGACCAAAGAAAGGATATGGCCTGGGAGATGGGAACAGTAACAGACCACCCCCACTGCACACTATGCACAGACATAGGTATTGCCTCTGACACAGCATCAAGACTCCTCAGATTCCTTACCTCTCCTTCAGGAGTGTCCGAAGGACAGAGCATTCCCCACTGAGATGGCTGGAGGGAGCGAGGACCACTCACTTTTCTTGTTTTTTCAAACTGGGAAGAGATTCTTGTCATCATGCCCAGTGCAGATATATATGACAAGCGAGACAGCACTTGGGTCACACCCTGGCGGTCCATTTTAAATCTCTTTAGAGACCAATTTCCCTGTAGGGAGATGAAAGACACAAGACTATTCCTAACCCAATCCTATGTTGTCTGATACTGTGCAGTAACTCCAAGAAGTTCATTACAGGAACTTCATGCTTTCGAAATTAGAGCCATGACACATATTCAGAAATCAAAGCATCACAATTAAAATGAAAACTTAGTCAAGTCACTCCCTGGAGTTTTCTAGGAAGATAATGAACATTACTATGTCTAGCAAACATCTCAGAAGTGTTAGATGCATCAACCTTACCATATCAGAGCAGTCACCTTCTGAGGAACTAATTCTATACTGAAGAGCCAGTTCAACCAGAGATTTCCATGGAAGTCATAAACTAACTGATAAAACACCGGCAACAAAGATATCATTTCATGTTGGAATGTGCAATTATTTGGATGTTTTCCAAAGTTGGTCTTAAGAAGAGCAAAATGTAGCAACAGGAAAATAACTCTGATAGCACTTATTTGGGATGATGAACAAACTGAAGGCTTCCCAATCAAGGTTTAAGGAATCTAAAAATAGTATATATATATTCATATTAAGAAATATATATTCTCTGTGGCCACTGTATCATTATTAAAATAGATTCATATGAAATAAATCCTGAACATTAAATTTACTTTATCTTCTTATGCATTAAATGTTATATTATTTTAAATATATTATTTTATAATTGTATTAATTATATATATTGAAAATATTCTCAAGGAGAACTTAAAGATTAAGGTCAAAAATTTTTCAAATTTAAATTCATAGTAACATGAATTAATAGTAGAAAACAGTATTCATCAAAAAAGCAATGCAGGTTGGGTGTGGTGGCTCACGCCTATAGTCCCAGCACTCTGGGAGGCCGAGGTGAGCAGACCACTTGAGGTCAGGAGTTTGAGATTAGCCTGCAATGTGGCAAAACCTCATCTCTACTAAGAATACAAAAACTAGCTGGGTGTGGTGACACATGTCTGTGTTCTCAGCTACTTGGGAGGCTGAGGTGGGAGGATCAATTGAGCCCAAAAGGCAGGCAGAGGCTGCAGGGAGCTGAGACTGCACCACTGTACTCAGCCTGGGAGTAAGACCCTGTCTCAGGAAAAAAAAAAAAAAAAAAAGCAAAGCAGGCACTAATATGTGAACAAAATAGTCGACTCAAGTTTTCCAATTCCAAAAAGAAAAACTGCATCTGCCATGGTTCTTCATTCCTCCTCGGAGGACCCAATAAAAGCTAGGAATGTTCTCTTGAGAAAAATGCACATAGAAACAAGAACAAAAATTTAATAGTCATTTTGGACTCTTGTGGATTCCAGGTTAAAAACCCCTGAAGCAGAAAAATTGCTAGGGTTTCAGGAAAAGATCAGGTGATCTGTTTGGATTAAAATATGTAACTTTGGGGGCACTCCCTCACAAATTAAAGTTTGCTCACTATTACAGTAAAGATCAATCACTTTGGAACCTTAAGTTTCTGAAATGTGGAAAAGAGCTAAGCTCTAAGAAACTCTATTATAAGGCAAAGAAACAGAGCAACCATACATATCCCACAAATTAACCTCTCCTATTATTACTTATTTCATTAACTCCTTTTATCCTCGGAGGGAGAATGAATCTAGTAAACTGACTTATGCCCAGAGAGTAAGAGTAAATAAGGTAAATAAGTATTCAGCACACAGCTAAAATAAGGCAGCAGCTGTTGGCAAGTAGCAAGTAGATGGGAGTAAAGCCAAGATGTTCGGCAAGAGAATTTGTTCTTGTATTCTGAAGGAGTATTACAAAGGGGAGAGACGAGAAACAGACAAGAGGTCTCAAACTTGTCCTTTGGGAAAAATGTATTTGGTAAAAGCATTCTGCTAATAGCAACTCAGAATTTTAAAGGTTGATCTTTTTCTGTTGCCTAGAATGGGGCACACCTGTAACTAGGCCTGCTACTGATTTTTGTAATAGGCAGTTCTGTCAGGGAGGTAAAGCAATTTCATTTAGGGGAAAAAGAACTACTTAAAATAGCTCTTTTGACCTGAAAATCATGGGTGAAGAAGCCAGGAAATGTAATTCTAAGAAAAGTGTGTTCAAGCACTCTTTGGAGAATTTCAAATATTCTTCAAATATTCAGGGATCTACCACAGACAAGTTCGGACCACCAGAGTTTATGTGCCTAAATAGGGACAAAGGTCTGGTTCACCTCAAGTTTAGATGTAGCTGTCATTGCAAGGGCCACTAAGACCCACTATAAAGTTCCAAAGTCAAGTATTGAAGCAAGTCTGCAATAATTCTTTCATCATTAAGGGAATCAACATGGTAGATTATATCATGCTTTGTTGGGGCAAAATCTCATCCATAAAACTAATTTTATGTCTGGCATACAAAACATGAACCAGACTTCATCAGATAGACCTATAGTTGTCATGCTTTAAGAAAGGGAGCAAAAACCCATCTGATAACCTTTTATGAATAGCCTGAGACCCTGACTACACAGCAGCTGCCGAGAGCTGAATTCATCCAGAACTGAATTCATTGCTTATGTGAGGAACAGCTGACAGGTCTTTGAAGAATATAAAACTCCTGTGAAATGAAACATTTTGTATTATTTTGGACAAAAGGTTGCTAGTTAATAAACCTGCCTGAAATGTGTCAATTTTACTACAGAAGAAAAAGAGGAGAGTATTCTTTAAAAGAATGGTTATTAACAGTTGAATGAAGATTTTTCTGCTATGCATCAGTATCTATTTTCTTATTGCCTCATATAACAGAAACTATAATTTCGCAGGAAAATTATAAATAACAAAATTCCTATTGACAACACTTCAGACTTTCTTTCAAAGTAGAAATTTGTGCTTTGTAAACATTCCTTTTAATATATATATTTCACCTGGATTCTCAAAGTGCTTTAAGTTTCCATTCCATTGAACAGACTTATAAGTAAATTACAAAATGCTGAAAGAGTGACTCAAGACTTACAGTAGAAATGGCGTTCACCATGCCATTGGTGATCTGGTCTTGGCGCATGTGTTTGACAACATCAAACTGGGCTGCTCTTTGTTTAGGAATCACCTGGTCGGCAATCTTTTTCATTTCAGAATTAAATTTTTTGAACAAGTCTTCAAAAAGAAGAGATAAAAGCTAAAAAAATAAAAGGTATATGGTGATTTTTCAATTTTTCAAAAAGCATTGCTACATTATTTTAATAAACTTTAGGTCTTAAGAGTTTAAAAAAATAAGAGGGAGAAACTGCTTAAAACAGAAAAAATAGGTATTTTCAAATTCACTTTAATAGATACGTATGTAATTTTCTACGTGCTTAACACTGTGTTAGCTATTTAAACAAAGGCAAAGATGATAATATCATCACTGCATTCAAAGACATTTCACCTAGACCAGTCACTTCCAGACTTTTAGATTTCATTGACCAATGACCTAATTTTTAATTTTACAGATAAAGTTATACATTAAAAGTAAAAAGGATGTGGGGAGAAGAATTACCATTAAAAACTCTGAAGATACACAAGATGTTTCCTGTACCATTGGTAAAGATGTAAATTGGTACAATCACTTAGGAAACAGTTTGCCATTATCTACTCATCCCTATGCCCCAACAGTTCCTCTTCTAGGTATACCTACTATAGGAGTGGTTTTCAAACTTCAGCATTTGCAGTAATCACTCTAGGGGATTAAAACACAAACTGTAAGCCCCACTCTTACAATTTCTATCTCGGTAGGTCTCAGGTAGTGCCCACAAATGTGAATGTCTAATCAGCTCCCAGGAGATGCCAGTGCTGCGGACAGGAGGAGGGCACTCAAGATGCTTATACTAGCTATTTGTAGCAGCTAAAATCTGGAAACCATACAAATAATACGTAGACAAGCTCTGGTATACTCATACAATGAAACACTATGAAACAATGAAAATGAACAAAAAATAACTAACCACAAAATCATGGCTGAGTATTAAAAACAAATACTCAGCAAAAGAAACCAGACATAAAACAACATATATATGACATGATTCCATTTATATAAAGTTCAAAACCCAGCACAACTACATTATATTGTTTAGGAAGGTACAATTAAGTGGTTAAACCTTAAAGAAAAGTTAGGATGCAAAATAGTGTAAAGGAAGGAATCAGCTAAAATTTTAAGGACTTCTTAAAGGCCAAATGTGGACTGCCACACAGGTTCAGAATTCTTCTGAAGCCCAGGCACAGGAAGTGTCCACATCCACTCACAAGTTCCTCTCTGTGGAGTGCTCATGAAAGGTTGCAGTGAGGCAGAAGACCTGAGAAAGACCCCTTTGCTAGAACACAGGCAATAAAACCCTTCCTATTTCCCTGGGCTTTCTTGCATAGGAATTAACACCTAAGTCCCTGGGAAGGGGCAGGAAAGTGAAAGCTTTCCTTTAGAAAATGGGGGAAAAAGAAATGACTGCCCATTCTCACCACTCCTATTCAACACTGTATTGGTGGTGCCATTCAGTTCCATAGGACAAGATAAAGAAACAAAAGATATAAATATTGGGAAAGAAGCAATAAAACTGTCTTTACTTGCAGATAATATGTTCATCCACATAGAAAATCCAAAAGTATCTAAGAAAAAAACCTTAACAGAAATAGTATATGTGTTTAGCAAGTTTTTAAGATGCAAGGCCAATAAAGACAAAGCAACTGAAAATAACCAAAACAAATTCAAGAAAACTTTATTAGGAGAAAGATGTTCATGGATTGAAAAGCTAAATATTATTTAGATATCAGTTCTCCCCATATTGATCTATAAATTCAAATGCAATCTCAATGAAAAAGCTTGCAGGCTTTTACTATTTGTGAAAATGCAGAAGCTAATTCTAAAACTTTTTACTAAAAATGTTAAAATTCCTAAGTTTATAATAATACTCAGAAAAAAATCTTCACTATTCACTTCCGGAGGAAATTAGAGAACTAAATTATTATTCTGCAAACAGGCTTAAAAAATATCTAGAAAGCATTTATCTTGCCTTTCTCATGTAAATTATGTTTCAGGGTAACCAAAGAGATGACAATAAAAGTACTCTTTATTTTAAAATTCCAGCTAATAAATGTGCCAGGATGAAAATGTTATCACTATTTTGCATGCCCTAATGAGACAATGAATAAAGGAAATGATCATCAGATGCTAAATAAAACTATCAGGAGAAAAGTTGATGGGGAACTTTATAGGGGATAAGTCAGGGACCCAAACACCTAAACCCAATGATCAAGCTCAATGACACAAAAAGTGGATAAAACCAGACATACAGGATAGGATATACTCCTACCACCCATGAAGTGTTTAGTCCAAAACCAAACCAAACCAAAAACAAAATAGCATCTATCTTCTAGATTTAACTCATGGTTTATAAGAAATTTAGGAGCGAGAGGAATATATACATGTTGAAAGACACCATGAGGGCCAGGCGTGGTGGCTCACGCCTGTAATTCTAGCACTTTGGGAGCCTGAGGTGGGCAGATCACAAGGTCAGGAATTTGAGACCAGACTGACCAACATGGTGAAACCATGTCTATACTAAAAATACAAAAATTAGCCGGGTGTGGTGGTGCATGCCTGTAATCCCAGCTACTCAGGAGGCTGAGGCAGAAGAATCACCTAAACCCGGGAGGCAGAGGTTGCAGTGAGCCAAGAGCACGCCACTGCACTCCAGCCTAGGTGACAAAGCAAGACTCTGTCTCAAGAAAGACACCATGAGGATATGTGATAAATTTATGTGTCAACTTGACTGGGTTAAGGAATGCCCAGAAGGTTAGTAAAGCATTTTTTCTAGGTGTGTCTCTGAGGATGTTTCTGGAAGAGACTGACATTTCAATCAGTGGACTGGGTAAGAAAGACCCTCCCTCAACCAATGCGAGCAGGCATCATCCAATCTTTTGAGGACTCAGATACAACAAAAAATCAGAGGAAAAGCAAATTTACTCTCTTCTGGAGCTGAGACGCTTATCTTCTCCTGCCCTTCGACATCAGAACTCTAGGTTCTCAGGCATTCAGCCTCAGTCTGAGAGTTAACAGCATCACCTCCCTGGCTTTCAGGCCTTTGGAGCTGGACTAAACTATACCACCGAGGTTCTCTGGTTGTTCAGTGTGCAGACAGCGTATTTTGGGACTTCTCTGTCTCCATAATCACATGCGCCAATTCCTATAATAAATGCCTTCCCACCGGGCGCGGTGGCTCAAGCCTGTAATCCCAGCACTTTGGAAGGCCGAGGCGGGTGGATCACGAGGTCAAGAGATAGAGACCATCCTGCTCAACATGGTGAAACCCCGTCTCTACTAAAAATACAAAACATTAGCTGGGCATGGTGGCGCGTGCCTGTAGTCCCAGCTACTCAGGAGGCTGAGGCAGGAGAATTGCCTGAGCCCAGGAGGCGGAGGTTGCGGTGAGCCGAGATCGCGCCATTGAACTCCAGCCTGGGTAACAAGAGCGAAACTCTGTCTCAAAAAAAATAAAATAAAATAAAATAAATAATAAATAAATAAATAAATGCCTTCCCATCTTATCTATCTATCTAAAAAATTTTAAGGTGTGAAAAGGTATTATAATTTTTTTAAAGTCATGTCTTTTAGAGATATTGTAAATATTTACAGAATGTGATTTGACATCTGAGATAATGAAATAATTTGATGGCTAGAATTTATTTAAACAACCAAATTTGGGGAAGAAGGGGAGTGGGAAAGAGTTGAGGAAGGTACAGATGAAACAAGATTGCCTTCTACTGGTAACAGCTGAAGTTTTGTGATGGCTATATGGGAGCCAATTTTACTATTCTATTTTTGCATATTTTTGAAAATGTTATTAATATTTTTACTTAAAATGTCTACAAAAAACCCTTAAAAAACTTAGAAGTAAATCTGAAATAGGTGCAAGACCTTCATGAATAAAATTATAAATCTTTGCTGAAAAACATCAAAGAAAACCAAAATAAATGAAAATAAAATATTCATCAATAAAAAGTCTACATAGTTGAAGATTATGAATCTTCTCCAAAATGATCTATGGTTCCAATGTAATGCAAATCAAAATCCCTAGAAGATTTATTTTGATGAAAATTGACAAAAAAATTCTAAAATTTATATGGAAAAGCTAAGACCCTGAAATAGTTAGGACACTCCTAAAAACGGTAAAGGTACTAATGAATACATAGACAAGCTGGCCAATGGATAGACCAAAGAGTCCAGAAAAGATCCACACATATAATAAAACCTGTTATATGATAAGAGATGCATTTTGGAACACGGAGGAAACAAAAGACTATATAATAAATGGAGTTGAGACAAACAGTTATTCATTTTTAAAACAAATGAAAATTGGATTCCTTACTTCATTCCACATGAACAAAAGAACAAATACTAAAGACACAAGTTTAAAAAATAAAGAGCACTGTATTAATCTGTTCTTGCATTGTTATAAAGAAATAACTGAGACTGTGTAATTTATAAAGAAAAGAGGTTTAATTGTTCATAGTTCCACAGGCTATACAGGAAACATGATGCTGGCCATCCACTCAGTTTCTGGGGAGGCCTAAGGAAACTTACAATCATGGCAGAAGGTGAAGGGGAAAGCAAGCATGTCTTATATGGCCAGAGCAGGAAGGAGAGAGAGACAGGGAGATGCTGTACATTTTTAAACAATCAGATCTCATGAGAACCCAAGAGAATAGCACTAGGAGGATGGTGCTATACCATTTAAAACTACCCCACAATGATTCAATTGCCTCCCACCAGGCCCCACTTCCAGCATCAGGGATTACATTTCAACATGAGATTTGTGTGGGGACACAGCTCCAAACTTTATCAAGAACTATTAAAAGGAAGATAAGTTGACAAACGACTGCAACTAATAATAGCACAAATTGGTAGCACTGAAAAATACTATAAAGTTGGCCAGGGGTGGTGGCTCACATCTGTAAAACTAGCACTTTTGGAGGCCGAGGTGGGTAGATCACTTGAGGTCAGAAGTTTGAGACCAGCCTGGCCAACACGGTGAAACCCTATCTCTACTGAAAATATAAAAAGCTGGGTGTGGTGGTGTACGCCTGAAATCTCAGCTACTTGGGAGGCTGAGGCAGAAGGATCGCTTGATCCTGTGAGGCGGAGGTTGC